AATTTCAATGCTTGATGAGTTGCATGAGGCTCAAGCTATTAGGGTCAAGAGGGGGTCCCCATGAGCCTTCCTTGGCCATTTGATATAGAAAACCTTCCGTGGAAAGGCTGCTTACTAGCAGTTTCTTCTGCGTCTTTGCCTGGGATTAATCGTCCCATATCTGAGTTATAGGTGACAATGTATTTTATCTTTATGTAGGCCCGCATCAGGTTTACACCCTTGTAGTTTTTTTTTTTAATAAAAAAATTGAAAAGAAATAGATTTTCTATTTATGCAAAATGGCTCATGGTTGTCATCTCAAGTTTAGACTTTACTGTTGTGGGTCGGTTATGTAGTTTTCTGCTTTTATGTCTTCACAAAGCCATTTGTATGGGACTACCTTTGGCTGCAAGTCATCCTTTTTTGAGGACTGGAGTCTATTTTCTCTTTTGTTAAAAGGACAACATAAATTCAGAAGAACTAGCGTCTTTGTCACATATGATAGAGTTTCTTCTTTTTCTCTTTATTACAGTCTGTAATAAAGTAATGGGAAATAAATTTTTGATTAATTGTGATTGAACCCCCCGTTTATATGCCTGTCTTCTTGTGCTATGACGATCTCTACCTGTATGTGTACTTACATAGATATTTTATTATTTGATCAAGCTGTCGGTTATATTTTGAGCCTTGTTTAGTTTATCGACTAAAAATATATGTTTTGTCACAGAAAAATCTATGGAATGCTTGGATAGCAATATCAGACCTTCGTGATACTGTGACCAAGAAAAGACACAGATTGCAGTTGCTGAGGCAGAAATTGAAGCTTGCTTCCATTCTGAGAGGACAAGTAAGCTTTATTATTCCCCTTTGTTTTTTTCTGTAAAGTAGAACTCTTTCGGTATCTTTGGGTTAAGTAATATCGTATATACCAATCTGACTACCTTAAGACATGTTTTCTTAATTTCCTATAAATTCTATTTTTCTTTCTTTTTTTGGTTTCATTCAGTTAATTTCTTTTTTCTGTAAAGTAGAACTCTTTTGGAAAATCTTTTGGGTTAAGTAATACTACCTCCTTTTTTAAATAAATGTCGTTTTGACTTTTGTGATTCATCCATTTTGCTATGTATCTAGACATTAATATACCTTCTTCGTTGCTATGCGACTCAGCTCCCTTACGCTATATGAATTCCGATTGGGGTAATGTATTAAAAGTCTATCGTATGACGAGGTGCTCGCTCCCTTTTCTTTTATTTTAGTACGGTATCCTTCGTACAGTTCGTTTCCTAGCTCTTGTTGGCCTGTCGGCTCACCTGTAAGTATGGGGCGATGTGGGTTGGAAATCCCTCTTTTCGAATCCTCAATTACATCGACCCTGACGGTGTGTTATGTCTAGATACATAGCAAAATGGATGAATCACAAAAGTCAAAACGACATTTATTTAAAAAAGGAGGGAGTATCTTTTATACCAATCTGACTACCTTAAGACATGTTTTCTTAATATGCTATAAATTCTAGTTTTCTTTCTTTTTTTGTCTCATTCAGTTAACTGAATTTAATGAGTGAAGTCATTCACAGTTTATGTCAACATTACTAAGGTTACTGCCCTGATGAAAAATTCTGCCTGCTCACTGTTGTTTTTTTCCCAAGACAAATGTGTATCCAATATTTGGTGTTGTTGGATTCAAATATCAGTTTACATGATGTAGTTTTCGCTTTTAAGACAGTGGCATAGTCTTCAACATTTTCACTTCAATAATAGTTTGATTTGACTGACTCTTCAATTTCTTTTTTAGCTTTTGCATTTACTCTTTCGAAAAGACTTGTTCTTTGAACTAATGACTGAAGTTTTAGTGCCTTGTAGTTATGTGAAATAGAGCCTAGCTATACTATGTCGAAACCTATAGATCGAGGCAGTTTTTTTTGCAAGTTAACAGTTTTGAAGGATGACTTCTGTCAAATGTTGCAATTTGATACTATGTTGTCTAAATCTAAAGCTGACTCGTCTGTTTTCCTTCGTATCCTGTTTTCGTCCTTTTTCTGTGGGATGTATGAGAATCTTTTGAGATATATTAACAATAAAAAATAAAATAATAAATGCAGATGATTTTGTTGGAAGATTGGGCTTCTATGGAAAAGGATGAGTCGAGCTCTTTGGTTGGAGCAATCGAAGCTTTAAAGGCTAGCACCCTTCGTCTTCCAGTTGTGGGAGGAGCTGTTGTATGTGCCTACACCATCTTTAGTCTAATACAATTATTATTATTATTATTATTATTATTATTATTATTATTATTATGCTAAATAAGTAATATTTGATTATATTCATCGCGAACAGGCTAACATACAAAGCTTGAAGGATGCTACTGGTTCAGCTGTTGACGTGATGCAGGCTATGACCTCTTCCATTCATTCACTTCTACCTATGGTAATTTGATGCCCCTTTAATTAACCCCAATAAATTTGAATTTCGGTTGAAGTTGGTAGTATTTTAGAAATGTGTAGAAGTTGCCAAAAAAGTTGTACAAAAGGCAAAAGGGAGTAACTGGTGACTAAATTGCACTAACTTTTTTTATTTTGTGGGTAACTGGGAAACTAGAATTCGGAATCTAATGCACTCCACCCCTTCTTATAATCAATGTCGAATCATGCAAAAAGTAGAAAGTATAAATTATCTGGCTTTTGATGTAAAACGTTCGTTCAATTGTTTTCAGGTCGACGAAGTGAATTCTTTAGTTACTGAACTTGCGAAAGTGACTGCAAAAGAGCGAGTTTTACTCGAGCAGTGCACAGATTTTATTTCCTTGTTAGCAGCCATGCAGGTACTTCTACTATTTACTTTTCTACAAACTGCATCCACTATCATTTCAAGAGAAAACTTGATGTAATCATCGATATTTACTTTAATTGAAACAGGTTCAAGACACTAGTTTGAGAACGCATATAATACAGCGTAACTGCGTATGATGACTGTCATAAGAAACATAGAACTGATTGTATTGGATCCCAACCTCTCTAGCTGCTAACACCATACACAACCAACAATCGGACCTAATGGCATGCATGGGGGACAGCCATTTTTTTTAACCTAATAACAAACAGAAGGGACTTTGGCTTCTTTTTGTAGGCACAAAACGAAATGTTTTCTCATTCGCGTTCTCCATGTTATATCCAATATGACAGGAAAAAAAAAACACGAAAAGGTCCGACTATCTGTCTCACTAATTAGCTGTACACGAGCTTATCCTTGTTCGTTCTTCTGCTTTTCTTTTTCTTCATTTTTGTCTTCCTTTTCTTGATTGGAAAAAAATGATGTGTATATATGTAATGTTCTTACATCATTTATCGGTTAACAGCCTTACTCTGTTAATTTCTAGTTTTAGCAGAAAAAGATTGTAATGCAGTAGTTTTGTGTAATTCAAGATTTTTGCTTGTTTGTTTTGCATGTTTTCATTAGGTTTGTAATCTCAGTGTGTTAAATTTTTTTTATTTTTTATTTTTTAAAAAAGGAATTTATGGGAAGTTCAATTAGTAACTTGATAAACAAATTCACCATCGGAAGTTGTTTAGGGCTTCTTAAAATTAAATGGTATGTGCACTCTCTATAAGTCCCAATTTATGTAGTGAGATTTATTCAAAATATGGGAGAGTAGGTTTTGATGTTTATATCCAGCAAATGTGGAAAGTGAAGAATGTTTGGCACACATCCATGTAAAATTAGACAAAGTAGTGCATATAGCTCGTGTGATGGATGGGAAACAATATTAAATAATAATTAAAAATAGGTTTCGAGTTTGAGTCACTCAACGAAAGAAGTGAGAATTACTACTGATTTTCTTTATAAAGAGGAAAAAAAAGAATAATTATAAATTAAAGATTAAGATAAACAATATGAAAAAATAATATATATATATATATATATATATATATATATAATTGCTGACATATAGCATTTAATAAAACATTTAATAAAACCTCCATTCATTTTCCCGCTCATTTTTTCTATTAATGTAAAACCGTTACATTTTACATTAATAAAGTGTAATAATAATTTGAATGTAATTTATTCACTACTAACATTAATTGATTACAACTTTGCATTAAATAGTATGTGGAAGTTACATACTTATAAAAAATTGTATTGCAATTTTTTTCTTTAAAATACTTTTTTCTAAAATGAAATATTTTTTGTTCTTTTTAAGTGATTTTTATCTAATTTAGTTAATTGGCATGAGTGTCATAATTAAACATCTTAAAATCACATAAACAAATGCTATAACAATGATAAAAATAATTGTAATATTTTTCTAACTAATTAATTGTATGGTCCCTCTAAATTATTAAATTATATTAGCCATTAAAATTTACGGCATCAATATAAAGATTCATACGTAAGTTAAATAAATTATATTTACATTACACATTTGCATGTAGTCAAAATTTAAAATGTAATACATCAATTAATTAATATAAAATTTTTATATATTATATTCCTAAATATAATATATAAACTTTTATTTTTATTTGTGCATGTGCACAGGATGAATACTAGTAATAAATTAAAGACGTGAGGTTAAACAATGTAAATTATCTTGTATAAGAGAAAATTAATTTTTGTATGTTTATTAAAATATTATATTCTTTTCTATATTATTTTTAGAAGATGTGAAGTAACCTATTTTTTCTAAACTGTTTTGGAAAGAAAAAAACATGTCTAAAAACATTTAAATTTAACATTTGTATTAATTTTTTTTTTTCTAAACTACTTTGTAAAGAAAGCATGTCTAAAAATATTTAAATGTGACATGTGTTATATGTGTGTGTGTGTGTGTGTGTGTGTGTGTGTGTGCGCATGTAAAAGAATATGTCTAAACCATTTGTTTAATGTATTTAAAATATTAAAGTCTAAATATTTGATGTATAATTCAAAATATGTTGCAAATTAGGAAAAAATAAGATT